CTTCAACTCTCTTCCACCATTGAAGTGCAGTACCTTTCAATTTCAGCTTTACAATTAACACCTTTCGATTTTTTGCCATGGGTTTCCATTCAAAGTAATTTTTCAAACTAGCTTCCCAATCCAAATATTCCTCCGCATGAAATTTTCCATAAAAATGAATTACTTCAATCTTGATTCCTCCACCATTTAAATTAAGAGCATGTAATAACTGGTCCTCTAATCCAACTTTTGCTGCTTGATTTACGGGTCTATCTTCATGAAAGGGGTTCTCGTTTTCAAATTCATCATCATCCTCAAGATCTTGAATCTCAAGGGGGTTGTGGTCACCTTCTGGATTTTCCATTTGGGCTTCCACTGGTTCCTGACGCTGCAAGGCTTGCACAGCCTGGGTCAAGTCATCAATCATTCTCCGCATCTCTGTCAACTCAGCTTGTTGGGGCTGATTGTCTCTAATTCGTCCTCTACCTCGGCCAACGATAGTTTCCTAGCTAAGAAAATAGTAGGATCGTTTACTCTGATACCATTTGATGTAGTCAAAGGGTTTAGGGCAATTAAGGCTAGAATAAGGTTGATTGTGTTGGAACAATAGAAACATAATTGGGTTTTTTTAAAAAATACCTGTTGAATAAATATTCAAAAATAATAAAAGATGATAATAATTCTATATCTAGGATCACCTATTTATAATAGCTAAAACAAATCCTAATCAAATAGTAATTCTAATTCTAAATAAAGACTTAAAGTACTAAAATTCTAATAAAGAAAAAAAATCTCAAACTAAATAAAATAAAATAAAATAAAATCCTAAGCTAATAAAATACTAAAAAATAATTTTTCATATGCGCTTGCATCACATGGAGAATAAATTGAGAATTTTTTGGAAGAGCCTGTCATATGTTTGTTTGCTCTATAATATAAAACCCATGAATCAAGATTGGCAAGAAAATAGTATCTATTTTGACAAAATTGGAGGAAGCAATTATGGTTGATTGAGAATCAAGCTAAAACAAAAGATGCCTTAGGGTTTGTATTTCTTCATTGGAAAGACTCTCAATATTAGTCGTCTCTTTAGGTTTTTCTACTATTTTGGATTGGTTTGCTTGTGGTCTTGTTGAGCCCATTCGTTTAACTGCACGACCCTTAGTTGGTCGACTATTCAACCTCCAACAAGTCTCCTTAGTATGCCTTGGCTTCCCGCAACAATCACAATGTATATGATCCTTGTTTGATAGGCCCTAGTTAATGACTTTCAACTACTCACAAAAGGAAATGGCAACTAACCTTGCCTTGTCTATTGAAGCTGTGTATCATGGCACTTCTTCGACTCTTTTCTTGCTGCACGTATGAATAGGTTTGCCTTAAAGAAGGCAAAGGGTCCTTACCAAGTACTTGAACCTGTATTTGATCATATTCCACATTTAAACCAGCAACAAAATTATATATGTGCTCCTTTTCAACTAATTTATGGAATTTTACTGCATCTTCAGAACATATTGCTTGAAAATCTTGGTAATAGTCGAGTTCCTGCCATGAACCACTCAATTCAGAAAAATATTGGGCAATAGTCATCTTGCCTTGTTTTGTCTCATGCACCTTATTTCGGAATTCAAAAATCTATGTTTCATTGCCCACTTGACAATAGGTTTGAGATGCTACATTCCAAATCTGAAGTGTAGTATTTAGTAATAGATAACCTCAGGTAATTTGAGACTGCATGGAATTAACGAGCCATGACATTACAAGAGAGTATAGATTCCCAGTGGTTGTAGGTGGGACTGGTGACCTCTGGTTTTTGTTTATTCCCAGTAACATATCCTTTTAGACCTTTATCTTGGATGAACTATAGGTAAGATTTTGACCACGCAAGATGATTAGTTCGATCTAGCTTTATGGAACTGATTTGTAGTGAGGGATTCTAGTTGATCAAACCAACCATACTTTCAGCAGCCATTTTCTTCCCAGCAGCCATGCTTTGAAATACCACAGGAAAAAACACACAAACTGCTTGTTAAATACCCAGTCAAGCAAGGTTTCTAGTGGCTGCCAAGGGTAGCAAAAAAGATTCCCCTACTGCCAAGCGATAAAATATATCACTCCTTGTGTTGGCAGAAGCTCTGATACCATGGTGAGAGGAAAAAACCAAGAGAGAGTTTTTTATTCTATCATGAAATTATTATTTACAGTTGCCTATATATATATATATATATGTTAATTCTAAAACAGGAAGTTATCCCAAATATAGAAGGCACAATATTAGGCCCTAATAATTAGAGACTGATACCAAATATAAAAATTATTCCTAAAAATCCTCCACCAGTCGACATTATGTTTTTGATCATCAGCTCAATTCTGTTGCACGGTTAGCTTGATTGGGGCTTCAAATAGTATAAAAAAAAGGATTACTCTTGACATTTGTCATTGAGTCATTCAAATATTGGAATGATGCTGGATGAATTTGGTTGCTTGGGCTTGCAACTCTAGTTGACGGAAGTACGCCTTTAATTATCTCAACTCAGTCTACTTCATTTTGATTACTTAACCTTACTACCTCCGACTAATATCGTTAGCTTTTAATCTTCAATCTACACTATATTCGATTAGTTGCATATCTAGAATTCATTGTCAACCAACCTCATATCTGAGCTGGTTTCTCTTCTTTCTATGATTACTCAAGTTCTTGTCTTAGCAATCAACTAACTTCATTGATTAATCGATTAACCATTTTGACATAGCCTTTGATCTTTAATACAAGGGCCAATCTTTTCCAAGGCTGAGTTTACTAATGAGGGAGTTTTTTCTGTATGTTTTAAACACACTTGTTAGACCAGATGAGAATCTTTTTCTATCATAAACAATGATATGGAGCCAACATTAGGATGATGGTAGTTAACTCTTAGGCCATCCTCTTTATCCCTGACCATAAAATTTATGTGAGGATCACTGCAACTTCGACCTAAGTTGGCCTCCTTGGGATACTCAAAGGTTCCACTATTTGACCCTCTGTATTCAAGGGTTCCTCAAGTTCTAGCTATAAGCTACTGCTTGCTATTGACATCGAGAGGTAATGTGACACTTACTATTACATCAAAAGCATTTAGTTTGTAGAACCACTGTACATACAAGGACTAATAAAATTGTTAGCATTAGTGGTATCTCGTGAGTCATGAGTCCTTCCAAGCAGTGTTACTTTCTAGAACTTCTGGGCAAATAGCCATAAACTAGGTAGTACTTTTAGGCTGACAAATGCTTCTAACTAGAAAGAAGTCTTCTGCTAGAACGGAACTCTCTGGTATCTCTCAACAACTAAGGCACATTAAAAGTCATCATTTAAAGAACCTAGCATAGATAACTCTAATTCCCTCCTAATCCTCTCTTTAAGCGCATGGACAAGTCTTCTAACTCTACAAAATGGATCCTTGCTTAAATGCCCCCTAAGAATATGTTTATCAACTATTGAGCTAGAACAATAGTGGTTTACATGAGGTGTAAAGTTGGAAATATAACTGACATCTATAGTTGGTAGGAAAATAGTTTTATTATTATTATTATTATTATTGCAATTTTTGTTGCATGATAACCCTAAGAATTGCAACTATGTTTGTCTGATTTGCTTAGTCCAAGTGCAGATGTCATGTCAGCATATTTTGATGTAGCACCCATAATCTCAAAATAAAAATATGAATTTGGAATATTCAATTGCCAAAACCACCTAAACTTGATTCTAAATATGCTGTCTGAAACATAATATCTCAGTCATCAGAAGCTGCCACAAGAGTCTGACAATAACCTATTCATACTAGCGCAAACTTTAAGCTAATCTTACATATTATGATTTAATGTCCAAACAAATAAAATAAAGATAAAACAAAATAACAGTAAACAAAAAAAATCCTATTTTATAAACTGTCCAAATTAAGTTCCTCAAAAATCTAGATGAATGGTCAGCCATAATTGTTGCTTCTCAGCAAACTATTATCGGCTGAACTCTTGACTTCTCTCAACTGTCAAAGAGTTAAGCTAGCCGAGATGGTGTTATCTACATATGTCGGAAATTGCATCCTCACAAACGTGTTTTGTCTCAACCACAAGCCTCACATACACATTGGTGTAACTGCACTAACATATCTGCCCAAATTTTCAGATCCAATGGGAAATCTCTTCCGGGAAAAGGAAACAGAAAAGATAAAAGGAAGCATGCCTACAACGATGATGATGAGTTGGATCCCATGGATCCGAGCTCTTATTCAGATGCTCCCCGTGGTGGCTGGTATGTTGCTTACTATTAACAATTTTTTTGGTGTCATGCCGTCATGTTGAATAAGGTGTGCAGAGTCCAAAGAGGCACCCTTTAAAGTCTACTAAAATCATCTTACACTGGCTCTGCAGGATTGTTGGGCTGAAAGGAGTACAGCCACGAGCAGCTGATACCACTGCCACGGTGCAACATTTTTCGTTGAATCTATTTATTTTTTAAATTTATTGGAGATATGTATTAGGTTCTTATATATTTATGAACCCTGCTACACATATTGCTTTACTATAGAAATATGAACCCTGCTATACATATGGCTTTACTATAGAAATATTTTTTGAAGTTCGTTGCCCGAACTATCTTGTGAAATTTCTCATGTTTCTATGAACTTCAGGGTCCTCTGTTTCAACAGCGTCCATATCCTTCACCAGGAGCTGTATTGCGGAAGAATGCTGAAATAGCTTCACAAACGAAGAAATCAAGCTCGAATTGGACACCTTTATCCAAGAAAGGGGATGGGAGTGATGGCCTTGGTGATGCTGATTGAGATTGTGACTTAAATGGGACAAATTTCATCTTTTGCTTGGCTTAGTTTAGCCTGGTCATCTAAGTCAGTCACAATGTAGTCTGTTGTCTCTACTCATATGAGGGTGCTAAATCTTTCTACTTTCAGCGGTCCTGTACATGCTGTCAATTGGTAGAATTCAGGTATTGCCTGGGATGCAACTATCAAGTTGATAATGATTATATTCAGCTACTAAAATTGAGATGGAAGTCCAGTTGTATTGTATGGTAATTAATGCCTCCACGTCTGCTGCAAAGTGTGCAACATGCATCTGTAGATCCTACTTTCAGCAGGTCATCAGCTGATGTCATGCATCCAGAGAAAATATTTAGAACAGGGTTTAAAAATGAGACAGGAGGACATACAGAACTATTGCATGTTCTTGCACCAAAAGATTCCTAATGCCAGATGGCCTTTGCCTAAGTTAAAACTCGGAATATCTTCTTGTAGTTTGCAGTTTCTATATAGGAAAGCTGGTCGTCTAAATGTTTATTATGTTGAAAATTTGAGGGGTTTATTGTATCTTGCTGTTGAAACCAAGTTCTCTCTTAGGAGTAGTGATGAATTTGTAAATTATAATCAGCAATAACTTTCACACAATAAATTATGGTAGGAATGTCTAAATCTCATGGAGTCCCTTTTGCTTGCGTTTATCCCTATCTCTGTTTTGGGAAAAAGAAACAAATAACACAAGCTTCTAATGGAGGGGCTTTGACATTAGCTTATTCAAGTGGCATTCATGTCAAATACGACAATGACGTTCCTGACACGTTGATTTCAGCAATATTCTTGGTATGTGGTTAAAGAGGAAAGGTAGAAAGAAGACAACTGGGAAAAAGAAACTCAGAATGTACAGAACATGATGAAAATGATAAATAGTGAAAGAATAAGAAAATGAAAACATAAAATTTGGGAACACAAACGAATATGGCGACCCTAAAATGGAAAATTAAAAAGAATGGTTGTTTTTCTTTTCTAGAACATTAAAAATAGTTAAAAGTGCGTTAGGGTCGGAGGCCCAGCGAAGCGGATGTGAACTCGAGAAAATACTCTGAACTTAATTTTATCCAAGTTGATTTGTCACTAAAAGGTCATAACACAATCTTAATCGGGAACCCAAAATTTAGAACAATACAATTCGAACATGAATTAATTTGGATCCAAAATAATCCAAACACAAAATTCTATCCTAGTTGATTTGTCACTAAAAGTTAACAATCCAGACTCAAATCAAGAACCCGGATTTAGAATAGCACAACATGAACCTGAATCAATCCGGATCCAAAATAATTCAAACACAATTGAAATATATTGACACTTGCATTAAATAAAATATATAATATTTTTTACAAAAATTTCAATTTAATTAAAATGATAGATATAATTGTTAATCCTTGTCACATTGTAACGATTAGGGATTGATAACTTTATTATGTAGAGTTATTTTGATACATTTTGGAAGCTTAAGTAACTAAGTCTTTGAGATTTTATATTTAGATTTTATTATTTTAAGTGCTTTTCTTAGTTAAGTTTGATTACATGCTGATTAATTTAATTTAATTTATTTTTAGTTAATTTTATGTTATTTTGTTCTAAATTACTTTAAGTATAGTTATTGTTGACTTCTCTCATTGCTTTTGAAAGAAATTTGATGAAAAATCGTATAAGTATGGTGATAGCTTTATTCGTATATACTGCAATATTTCGAGAATAACCTGAGCTATAGAAGTCCAATTAATGTGATTCTTAAGTCATTGGAAAGCTAAGAAACAGGATTACAACTTTCATGTTTACTACTTTGCCTAGTTCAAATTCGATTGACATGGAAATTATGTTGGAACAGCTAGACTACTGTAGTTTTACACAAGGCTATGGCGCCCAGATGCTTTAAAGCATCATAGTAACACTAGAGAGCACAGTGCCATGGTGATGAGGAAATGAGGTTGTGGTGCTAAAAGAAACTAGTGCACCATACATTGGCCCAAGGCCATGACGCTAAGGAAGGTAGCGTCTTAACGCCATATAGATTTCCAAAAATAAAAATTCTTATGGGATTTTGGAAATTAGGGCTTTTGAAGGTTATTTAAGGGGTCTTTTTCAGAGATTTCAAGGGAGGCAACAAGAAATTATTCTAGAGAAAAAGAACTAAAAAATAAAGCAAGAAAACAAGAGAATTTGAGGGATAGTTGAGATCAAAAGCTTTAACTATTAGTTTCTTTCTCTACTTTTATGTTTTTCTTATTTTCTTTGACTTGGATTAATGGATAAATTTCTTTAGATGATGTTTTGATTAGTTATTATGAGCTAAATTATCTTTTTAGGATTGTGGTGGATTTCAACATGTAATTTGAATATTTGTTTCTCTTTTAGTTACTATGAATAGGTATAATTTTGCTTATTCAAATCTTTTTAATGCTTTTAATTGTCTCGCCAATAATTGAATGATATATTATTCTAGATGAGACTTGATAGAGTAATTTTAGATTAAACTAAGATTTGAATAGTGTATGTTCATGTCAATTAGGTGATCTGATTTGCAAGTGGGGTAGATATACACTTAAATGCCATACATAGCTAAATTAGAACATTAGTTTAATGAATTTTATTTAGTTGATTACTACAGACAAGCAGCGACCTAATTAAGTTAGGTATTTATACAAACATCTCAACAGAGACTTATGCATAGTTTGGATTAATCTAGGTTAGCAAAACCATGCACGAATGTAAATAATAAGAGAATTTGGTGTCAAATGAAGTGTTGAATGAACCCATAATCCTAGATTTTAATCTATTGCCTTTCTCTAATGAATTTTTGGTTTTCATTAATTAGTTTAGTTTTGATTGAATTTAGTTTTAATTAATTGTCTACCAAATCAAGTTACTTGAATAAGATTATTTTGTCATAATTTTAGTATTTAGTGAAGAATTAGGAGCAAATCCTTATGGGATATGATTTTGAACTTACTATCTATATTACTTGTTCAATGTGTATATTTATGTGTGCAAAAATTGACAACAGGGATGCCAATTATATTTAGACAAAAAATTATAAAGTGATTTTTGTCATTGAAAATGAGATGGCTTGTTAAAAGTGGTTTGAATGATGGGTACCTATGGTTGAATTTGTTAGTCGATTTTTGTTTAGAGAAGATGACTTTAACAAATGGATTGCTTAAACAACGATAATAACCAAATGCCACCGACTTGAATTAAAATGAAATGAGATGAATTTTGATTGAACGAAGTGAGCTTATTTGAGTTTGAACACTTGAACAAAGTGAACATAGACAACTTAGAATAAATCTTGATTGAATGAATTGAATTAATTGGATTGCGTTGAGCTTGCTATGAATATGATTAGTTGCCTAACAAAATCATAAGCAACTCATAAGATGACTTGAAAGACCTAACTTGGTTGAATTGAATGTTGATACTGAAAGTAGACTAAAGTGGGGATTGGATTTGCTTGTATATTCATCTTAATCGAGTATGTACAAGAGGTAGTATTTATACTCTACTTAGAACCAACTAAAAAAGTACCAAAAAAAAAAAAGGTTTGCCTCAAATTTGTTAACTTAACTAACTAATCAAATGTTTCTCACTTGGTCTTATAGATGCTCAACTATCTAATCTACATATTCTACACATGCTTCTTCTCTAAATAACAACTTTAGTTCTTTTTGCTACTTTCTTTAGTCACATAAATTGCATGTGTGGTTCTTCCATCAATGGCTTTAAGACTTGCCCCTCAAGGTTGGCATAGATGTTTAGTATGCCAATCTTGTCCAATAATGAGCTAAACTATTTTGGCAATAGAGCTTTGGTAAATAAGTCAGCAAGTTGTAGCTTTGTAGGAATATATTTAGCAGGAATTACACCATTAAGCACTTTCTCCCTAATGAAATGACAATCCATTTCAATATGTTTTGTTTTCTCATGAAATATTGAATGCTGTTAAAATATATAAGGTTTTCTAGAAAATTTGAAGAACAAGCCCAGTAACAGAGGAGAAGGAGGGAGAAGATATTGAAAGGAATGAGAGAAAAAATAAAAGATGACTTAAAATGGCACACCAACAACTTGTTTCGTTTAACTCAACAAACGACCAATATATACATGGTTAGAAGAGAGAAAAATGCAAAAGAAGCATCCTACCAAATAAAGACACTCGGAATTCCAAACTTTTAGGGAATATAGCACTTAGATTTATGCAAAATATACCCAACTAACAACACATGGACACCAAGCATGAAATAAAATGACAATTTGGATGAAAATGAATTACATAATAGCTAAACTCCGTTTTCATTTAGACATAATTACTTGGTAAAGTAAAAGAGTCAAGGTAAAACACTAAATAGAACAATATGACACCTAAAAAAGCATTAAACGACAACCATACTAATCATTTGTACACCGCGTGATCTCTTTCCTTGATTTTAAAATTTTCCTATGTATCTCCATTGATATTGCTCATAGAGCTTTCCAGTGCAGATCAAATACCACCTCCTGAACACACTTCCTAGGTGTTTGAGCTGCATATACCTAATCTTGACCTCAAAAAACTAAATTTTTCTTTTTTTTTAAAGTTTTAGTGAAAATATCAGTAAGTAGATTTTCTGTGTTGCAGTACTAAGTATCAACTTCCCTATCTTTGACAGCTTCTTTAATGGCATGAAATTTGACTTTAATATGTTTAATTCTCCCATGTTGTACTAGATTGTTGGCAACATAAATAGCTGATTGATTATCAATAAACAACATAACACCTTTCTTAAGATTGAACCTTAAATCATTAAAAATTTTCCTTACTCAAATCACATGGTTTGAGGTAGTTGCTGCAATAATATACTTTACTTTTGCAAAAGATTCGACCATCACTTGTTTGTTTTTGATATCCAACTAAAAATAGCACTCCTAAATGAAAATCAATAACCAATAGTACTTTTAGAATCATTTGAACTTTTGGCCTAGTCATTATCACAGTGGCCAATGAACTCATTATTCATTTCCTTCTCAAATCTTAAACCATAATCAACTATTCCTTTTAGATATCTTAGAACTCTTTTTGTAGCAAAATAGTGAATCTGAGATGGTTTTTGCATAAATCTAGACAGTAAGCTTGCTAGATACATGAGATCTGGTCTTGAGGTTGTTAAATACAGAAAACTACTAATAATACTTCTGTAATTTGAACTTAAAGCTTCTGGTGCCCTGTCATATTTTCTTAGTTTGCAATTTGAAACCATTGGTGTTTCAACTGCTTTGCTGCAGTTCATGTGAAACTTCTTCAATAGCTGAGAAGCATATTTGCTTTGATTGATACAAACATACTCAGAACTTTGAAGAAACTACAAACCAAGGAAATAATGCATCTCACTCAAATCTAACATTTCAAATTCCTCAATCAATTTACTTTATAATCTACCAAGATAGCTTCATTGGCACTGATAATCAATAGATCATCAACATATAAGGATATTATTACCTTGACTAGCTTTGTGGAGTTGTAGACGTACAATGTTGACTCTTTTGCACTCTTTTGAAACCTTTTTGAAGTAAGAAAGGTATTGATACGATCATACTAGGCTCTGAGGACCTATTTCAATCAATACAGAGCCTTGACAAGTTTACATACTTTCCCTTCTATCCTTGGTTTGATGAACC